TCCGGAGGCATGCAACACTGAGTTGCATTGATTGAGGGTATTGCAGCAGTGTTAGGCAACGTCTCGGCTGATTAGCGGTAGTCCACGACCCGTAGTTGCTTTGTTTAGGTGACTCGCACCCTTGCGACGACCGGCGACTTTATTGAACAAATTCGGCACGTACTACTGCTGTAAAACACAAACAACATTGTTTTCCGGGTGTTCGGCGATTACCCACATCCGTTTGAAGCCTGATTTACGCTACCCACACCTATTTAAGTGAGATCTAAGGTACCCACATCTAAACCAATCGATTTTGCAGTAACAAGCCCTTCGAACCCCCTTATAATTGATTTCTAATAATAAATTCATATTTTAATGTCACTTGTTTATATAGTTTAAGTTTGAATGCAAAGTTGAAGAGCATGAGTTTGGAGTAGGATTCGTTCAAATAGAAAATAAAGTAGAACCATGAGAAAATAACCATTTAAGAGAGAGTAACGTTGAACATAGATTTGATCCATTTTCATGAGTGATAGGTAGATTTATGTCAAAATCTTTATTCCCCTCAAGCAACTATAGTGCATTTTTTTTTTACTTTGTTGTTTATTTATCCTTGATTCATTTATGATTTTGATTGTTGTTGTTCACCCATGCTACTAGACATTAGTAAATGAAAGAGCCACGACAAGTGTTTAGATGATTTATGTGAGACACTGCATTATGACCTGAAGATGGATAGGATATGAAGTCAGGTAAATCTAAATGGAATCATGTGTTTATGGTGTACAAACTTCTTTGCTAATTTCATATCTTGCATTTTTCATAATGGCACCATTTTATAAGTTATTTAACAGAGAGTTGCTGATAGTTGTTTTCCTATTAGTAAGGGACCATCAGCAATATGTCCTCGTGGTAAGCTACCTCCAACTTTATTTGTTTTTTTGTATAATGCAAGTACATAAATTCCTCTTAAAATTTCTCCTGTATGTTGTTAGTTATGTTTTAAATGTTACTTTGTGTATAAGATTATTGGTTTCTATGAATATTATTGGATGCAATTTGTCTTTGTCAAGAAAACATCTATGTTCAATATGTAGTTTGTGGTTTCTCTACATGTTGACTTAGTTTGATAAACTAAA